TCGCGGTACGACTTCGAGCGTATGGGTATGGTTTTCCGAGCCTCGCCCCGTCAGACCGATGTCATGATCGTCGCTGGAACGCTGACTAACAAGATGGCGCCTGCTCTTCGCCGTATCTACGATCAAATGCCCGAACCTCGCTACGTGGTGTCACTCGGTAGTTGTGCCAATGGTGGTGGCTACTACCACTACTCGTATGCCGTGGTTCGTGGTGTCGACCGCATCGTTCCTGTCGACATTTACGTCCCGGGTTGTCCACCGACGGCTGAGGCTCTTGTCTTCGGACTGATGCAACTCCAAAAGAAGGTCAAGGGCAACAAGTCCTTGCTGCTAAAACTGAGAAAGTAGGCCAAAATCCGGAGTACCAGGCACATAGTTTTCTGAAAATTTTGTCTGCAGTTCCCGAAATCTACACACAACGAACAGAAAATGAAAGTGTCGTTGCAACCAGCCAGATATTTATTTCCCCGCTTCAAACGTTGTCAATATGAGTTCCAGGCTTCACTCACAGCCAGATTACCGTTTTTGCAATGAAATCGAGGTGGCCATCAACACCAGCGGTACTGTACAAGCAGTCTGCACAATCACTGTCGGCGTTGGCGTCGTGACCGTTTTCGTTGCTGGCTTCCGCGTTGCTGATCTGGACCTCTTCTCCTTTCACTTACCCGGTATGAGTCTCCAGCTTCATTTCCAACTCTCAGCTTCGCTCATCACTTTCGTATTTTACAGCTGAAAGCCAAACACAACTAGCATCGATTTATCCCCATAATGTTCCGAGTTGGTCGCGGAATGATGAAGTCCGTGGTGGTCGCCAAGTCCTCTCGCACACTTCACTCCAGCACCACTATCGCAAGCCAAACTCAAGTACCAGAACACGACGGGGTCTCCCAACGAGGCAATATCTCCGACCTTCTTGCTGGAAACGCGATTGCTCGCAATAGTGCTGGTATGTGAATCCGATATTTGCGAAAATAATCCAGTGTTTCACAGTATTGTCGGCGTAGAATATGCGGTGTCCCGACTCGACGATCTTGTGAACTGGGGTCGCAAGGGTTCTCTCTGGCCTGTGCAATTCGGTCTCGCTTGCTGTGCCGTTGAAATGATGCACGCCAGTAAGTTGAACCAACTTCTTGGCGTTCCTTGATGAGCAACTTTTGACAAAACTATGCCGGTTTGTCTTGGTCTAGCTGGCTCGCGGTACGACTTCGAGCGTATGGGTATGGTTTTCCGAGCCTCGCCCCGTCAGACCGATGTCATGATCGTCGCTGGAACGCTGACTAACAAGATGGCGCCTGCTCTTCGCCGTATCTACGATCAAATGCCCGAACCTCGCTACGTGGTGTCACTCGGTAGTTGTGCCAATGGTGGTGGCTACTACCACTACTCGTATGCCGTGGTTCGTGGTGTCGACCGCATCGTTCCTGTCGACATTTACGTCCCGGGTTGTCCACCGACGGCTGAGGCTCTCGTCTTCGGACTGATGCAACTCCAAAAGAAGGTCAAGGGCAACAAATCACTGCTCCTGAAGCTGAGAAAGTAACACGCTAGATCTGCAATTTGCTGCGTCGGGTAAGCTTACCGTGTACTGCCAGCCGTCAGAATCCGACTTGCGATACGGCCAGCGCCTTTTTCAATTTCAACTACTGCTGGTCGCAAGTTGCGACTCGCAACATACCCACGTTGTTGGAAGAAACGAGCGAAACCAAGGTTTGGTGGACATCAACACCAACGCGTAAACTTTTCAGTGGCGCTCACACTTTCTGTTAACATTTAATACATGTACCGTATTCCTTTCACGAGCAGTAATAAAACGGTTATAAAACCGGAGTAAAACCAGTATTTCGTAGTAAAAACTGATTTAAAAAACCTCGACAAAACCGTTTTTCAGCAGTATATGCCGGTATGATAAAAGCAGTTTATGCCAGTATAATTTTAGCAGTTTATACCGGTTTTTATCGGTTTCTTCCGTCGTAGCCACAGTCACTATCTGGTCACGATGCAGGAGAGTGGCGAGCTGCACCCGGCGCAGGTGCTCAAGAGCGGCCACGACGTGGGATCAAGC